ATGTTGGATGTTGCTCAATACCTTTTAAAGCCAAAAATCAATGCAGATATCTTGCTTAGCAACAGTCAGCCTTTCCCCTTCACTTTTAAATTATCTATGGAACTGAAGTTTCCCGAGAGCTCCAGAAAAAAATTATAAAGAACAAAATAGTGAAAAATTAGTAAAATGTGGCTGAACAGTTACAAATCCAAGCTGTAGACTTTTACCAAGAACTATTATTTAAAGGAATTTTATATCCATTTTAGCTAACTTCAAATGGAGAAGTTTGTGATGCTTATACATCAGCTCTGACATTATTTCTGAATACTGCTAGCAATCACTTATATTTTTATCTAATGAAAGGATATTTATTTCCTGACTATGGGACTGCATTAAGAATTAAAGGGCCTTTAAAGGAGGACTGCAAATTAAATTTGCTTCTCCATTTTGATGCTCCGTTGTTTCAAATATAAACTCACTTTCCTGCCGCTTTCTGGGCACTGAGGCAAAAGATGACTCCTATTTTTTCCTTCCCACCTCCTCCTTCTTCAGCAGGTATGGTATCTGCTTTACTTCAGTATTACCAGAACCTTGTTGGAAGTTTCAGTTATTTACTGGGAACTTTACTGCCTGCATCTTTTTGAAAGAGATAAGGCTATTGAATAATTAACAAAGATATCTTTTTTCCCCCACAGGTTCATTAAGCATTAAGCTTATTATTTATATCACAATAGAGCAAAGATCCCCAGTTGTGAAGCAAAATCCAACCCTGTTAAACTCTGTACTTGATAGGCATGAAAGCATTTGTCCCAAAGAGCTGACATTCTTTGAGCCAGAACATAATGTGCAAAACAGACAAGGACAAACACACAAAACATGATGTGAAATCTCCACGTGGACGCCGGCTGGTTGGGGAACAGCTGCACCAAGGATTATTCATGCACATGGAACACTTTGTTGGTCAGTTTGAAAACTCTGGTCCACATCTTGGCTGTACTCTAATGCTCTTAACTCACTCTCTGAGAGGAGAGACTCTTAAAAAGAAAGGGAAGTTGAAATATCTTCCCTCTGCTCCTTTCCAAACTGTATCACCACTGGGTACCTCGGCATTTATAGGACACGAGTGTCTATTGCACTGAAAAGAAACGATGGTGAAAGTCTTCGTCACCAATTTGGAAGATGAATTTTTCAACATGAAAACTCCTGTTAGGTGATAGTAATGCTTCCATTTCTTTTGGATAGGGAGGTTTGTCCCAGAAAACACCCTTTTCACTTGAAGTGAAATTTCTTAGCTAGCTCATGTACATCATCAAAATGATCCAACCTTTCAGCAAAAAGATAATCAGAAATAGCTAAAGCTTCCAGACCAGCTCCCAGATAAGGAACCAACAGAGAAAGGGCTCAACCTCAAGTGGAAAATGACATTGCATTCTTATTACTGAAGGGCTTTACTGTGGAGTGAATTTCTCAAGGGAAAAAACCTCTTCTTGAGGAAGAGGGACTAAACTGCATTCAAAGACGTGTAGCCTCCTCTGGATTTTAATGATGCCTGTGCCAGAAGAGTGCTGGCTCGAGTCCCTCAGGCTGCTGGCACCACCTCCTGTGCCTGTCCCAAATGAGGAGATCTCTGTACAGCTGCTCTGCTCTCTGCTGGACTTTTCACACCACCTCTTGTGCATTTAAGAAAAAATGGAAGCCAAAGTTGGATCTTTTGAAAATGAAGATATGACTAAACTGGAGACTTTTTTTTCAAAGTCTGCATCAGTTCATTTACCAGCTGCTGTGGGGAGAATTCACTGATAAAATGCCCTAATGGAGGGCATTTTATGCAACTATGCAACTGCACCATTGCAGTTTTGCCCTAAATTTAGAAATAACAGGTGCCTGCACAACTGGTTTTCTGGAGAGACAACGTGGACCTTAAACACAGTGTGTTACCCTGCAGCCAGAACACAGCAGAGAGTAGGAAGAACTAAAGACAGTACAAACCAGGCAATCATACCAAATACAAAACCTGGACACTTTAAAACGTAAGTAGCAATTACTGGGACACATTATTGAATTACTCCTTTATTGGGCCCCAAAGAAAAAAATATCATTTCTTTGACCGCATCTTGAAAACCCTGAACTATCCAAGGCATCAACACCTTGCTTTTAGTCAGTGTTATCTACTTGTCCCCTGTTTCTGTGCTGCTCTACATCTGTCCCAGTCACTTTGCTTTATAGCTCACATGCCATTTATCAAGCTGTCATATGAAATAAAACAATGACAAAACCAAACACCACTAATTTCATTTATCTGCAAAGTTATTTACAGGTATTTGTTATTAGATTTCCTGCTGACTGAATGAAAATCCCAAAGTTAGTGCACTGTGTATTTCTAGCAGTAACCAAGGAATAGGATTGATTCAATTATAAATTATGATTACTCTACAGCAGCTGAATAATGAAGGAGAGTTCTAAAAATTTAGAATAACAATGGAGTCACTGAATGGGTTCTTCAAGAAAATAGCTGTAATTTCAGGTAACATATGTGCAGTGTAAGAAATATTAATATAAATAAAGTAAATAAGTACTACGGACCCAACAAATACTAAACAAAATAAATGAAAATGAATTATTTAGCATTTTCCCATCTCATTTTCATGGTGTGCACTACAATAGAGTGTAACAATATTCAGGTTCCTGTTATTAGAGATGTTAACCCCTGTACTTTTAGGTATTTGATTTTCCTTGAAATCATCCAAGCAAAGCTGTCAGTAAGTTTTCATTTTTGTGAAGTAATAGACACTGGAAAATGACATGTCAGCATTAATACAGACGTTCTAGGATAGAAGGCTTCCTATTACATTACACAAACCAATCAAACCTGATATATTTGCAGTCTACTGAATTCCCTCAAACTTTGTTTTAAGGAAAGTCTCCTCCAGTGACCTACTTGAAAGTAATCAGGGGAAGCTGACAGCAATACAGGACATAAAATAAATGCATAGTGTGAATCAGAGTCTCTCCTAAAAGAATATGTTTTTTAAAAAAATCCTTTCAAATAATGACAAAGCATTAGAAAAAAAATTATGTATTAGCCAGCAGGAGAAACCTGGAAGTAATTTTAAATACTTTACAGTAATTTAAATTAACGTTTTGGTGCCAGCAAGATACTGTTCTGTATCTAAGTCAACTTTTGCACAAAGCTAAAGTAGCAACTGGCAAATCTTTGAAGACAGAGGATTCTTCACTGATTTTTTTATTTTTTTTTTAATTTATTAGTTCTGAACTTATAAGCCGTTTTCATTTTCATTTGTCCATTTTGGAGAGTTTTACTCTAAAAGGACCTGAAACTCTATATGACACATTTCTACAAGTCTTTGTGCATAACAGAACAAGATGCACCAATGCACCATGGCAGATGCAGACAGATTTCAAAGCAGTGCACTCCAAGCTGTTGAGATCAGGAGATCTCTTGCTGTGTGAATTGGCAAACCAGTTTGTCATCAGGAAACAATTATGATTATAAACCCCAATAAATCTCATCACAAGTCCCACGAAATGTTATTTTATAATCCTTGCTACCTATGGCTTCAGTGTGGAAGCCATTCAAGTAGACACCATGGCTGTGGGGAAGTGACTATCGAGCTCTTGCTAAGTATCAGACAAGTTTAACCTGTCATTTTCTAGGGGTATTCTGGCACCTGGAGTCAGGAATGTGGCAAGTGCCACACTGCTGGACAGGTATGCCACCTTCAGAGAGCCAAATCTAGATTTTTCTATGCTCTGGCATGCTTAAAAAAAGAATGTCAGTACTGTCCAAGGTCCCTGTGCCTTGTAGTTCCTTGCCAATTATGCATCCTAAATATCAATTTTTACATCCTTCCTCTGTCTCAGAAGAATTCTCTGGGTGCCTGAAGTCCCTCATAAATTTTTATGTTGCTTTTTAGGTCTTGTAAGCCGTTTTGCAGGTTCCTAAATTCTTCCTTAACTGATTAGGCCTGTGCATTTTCAGCTGCAGATCTACAATTGTAGTAGAAAAGCATCACTTCCCAGACAGAGAGGCATGGAAACAAAAACAGTCTCTCATTTTCCCTTTGTCTAAGGGTTTGATTACATGTTCTCAGGCAAATCAGATAACCTGAGATTCACTTGACTCATCCACTGAGCACAAACATTGTTTATCTTTGTCTTTCCATAGCACCTTATAATCCAAGAATCTCAAAGCCAAGTACCAGGAGAAAATACACAGTTTCTCCCTGAAGGAAAACTACCCAGTGTCACAAGGAAAGCTGCAGCTGTTTTGTTTTACAAACTACACTGGGTGAGTGCTGAGTACAATCCAGCAGTCAGAGAAAGAAACCCCAAAGATTAAAAGAATTAACTACCAGAGGCAGAGATTAATATCAGTAATTTACAAATTACCTTTTAAAAGTGTTAAAACCCAACAGCAAGCCAACTTAACTTCCCTCCCAAACTTTCTTTATTCTCTATTTTTCCCTTTAATTTGCTTTCTGTGTCTTTTATAATGGTTTCCTGAGGTTCTGATCACACTATCATTGTGGCATCAGTCTACTGGAAGCATAATCCTGGAAATACCCCCTTTAAAGGATAATTTAATTGAATTCTTAAACAGGAGAAGAAAATTAATTTCCTCTGACTTCATCCTCTTTTGAATAGTTAAACTTGTACAATCATACATTAAAGAAATAGAATCTATCGGCTTTGAAACCTCAAGTTTTATCATTTGATACTTTTCTGGTGCCTATCAAAGCAAAATTTAAAAACAAAATCTTTTTAAAAATACAGTCACTGGGGAAAAGTCATTTTTTTCACACTGAAATGTCTCTCTTCCCATCTGTAGCAACAGGCACTTAATAAAGAGAAAAAAAACAACACAGAAATTCCCAGAGATAGTTCACTTTTCTAAATGTGGATAACAATAAAAACACCAAAGGACTGCATTATGTTAGTTTCAATCAGATGTTGATGAGCCTGGAGAAGTGAGAGGTTTCAGAAATGAGATGGCAACTTACTGCTTGAGGCAGACAGTTCTCTTGGGCTGGAGGACATCGGCTGAGCACACATCTGACACAGACAGTCCCTTCCATTAAAGGTAACTCGATCTCCTGGTGGAAATGGACGCCTGGAAATTTCAAGAGAAAAACGTATTTTTGCAAAGGTTATGCCAGAAATTTTCCTCTGTTCCTCATGCCTTGAGTTTTCTGCCTTCCTCCAGCACAATCAGTATTTTACAGAAACTCAGGCCAAATAGTTTCTGCAATGTGGCCTTGGCAAAGCCAGGCACTGGAAGAAATCCAATCCATGGATGCAAGCGGGGCAGAGGTTAGACTTGCCTTGTATTTTCATTTAGAAAAGATTATCAAACAAGTTTTATCTGAATAGCAGAGACAGTGGAATCTGCTAAGACACAACAGCTACATTTATGATGGTCTCAGTGTGATGTTGTGGATAGCAAATGATACAGAAGAGAACTCAAAGAATAGAACTGTTCTTGAGGCTGGTGAAGGAATGTGGTGCTAGTCACTCATAAATGTTAAGAATGTGTGTTAGGCAGAAGTTGACATTGCTGTTAACTCTTATTTGGTGCCTAAAGCAGAGGATAAGCAACATTTAGTAACTCCAAATCTTTAATAAGGAGCATTAGCTGCTGAGTGCAGACCCCTGCTACACCCCACCTCACTCCAAAACTGCTTAGCAAATGAACAACTGCTGATTTCAACAAAAAAAAAATATATTTCAGGCATTGTTTCCTTTGCACTGTCATCTCTAAGTGGGCCAAAAATAAATCAGCAGCAATACTGAATTTCATTAGTCTATTTCAATGACTCATCTTTTGTCCATTCAACATAAAAAGACTGATGCAAGTCAATGTACAGAAAATTGATGTCACATTTCACACTGTCCCTGGGAAATAAAATGGCAACATACACATTTTATGATTACCAACATGCAGTAAACTCACACACTATTTAAAAACAGAAAACAATCAAATGCTTCCAGTAGAAAAGGGCTTGAAAAATGTACCAGGCTAAAGGACAGAGTCCTTCAACTACTCATCAGATGCAGGATGCCACCTCTCTGCCATCCACAGAGCCTTAGCTAACTCCATCTTACTTGCTGTAGAACTGAAGACTGGTTCTCCTACTGGGAACAAGAAAGAGGATTTGGAAAGAGGGGGAACCCCAGCAGTCCTAAAGCCATCTGCTCACATGTGGTTGTTTGACTTGTCCTGAGAGCTCAAATGTAGCATCCAGAATTTTGCTTCACTTCATTTCTCCCACCAAGCTGGGCTGATCACCTGAACTCAACTCTACTCATGTCCATTATCTCCTTGTGTGTAAGCCTGACAATTCTTTCAGACATGAGGGCAACTTTCTGAGAAGGGAACTACATGTAATACAAAAGCCGTGTCCCCCAAATAAATGAGTGGCATTTTCAAGACTTTTCAAGTCAGACCTTTTATAACAAAATAAATGCATCCTCAAGAGAAGTACATCTTGAGACTTGTGTCTCATGGCAATACCTTTCCTTGTGTTTTCCTTGAACTGGGTTCCCACCACATTATTTGAAGGGGTGACTTACTTGCAGAGAGTACAGGCAAAGCAGCTGGGATGATAAGTTTTTCCCAGAGCTGTCACTACTTCGCCTTCCACGAACTCCCCACAGCCATTGCAGCGGGTGCCGTACATGCGCTGGTAGTCCAAGGTGCAGAGATATTCTCCATTCTTAATGAAGAAGCCTCCTTGTGCCAGGTCACAGCCACACACTGAGAGAAAAAAACAAACCACAGAGATTAGGAAAATATCACTAGTAAGGATGTTAGCTGCTCAATTGTATCAGTAAAAGGGTGAAAAGCCAGTCAAGGATTTCTGTGACTTGGCAGTTTTTCCGCTGTAAAATGTTTATTCATTCAAACCAGAACACATCACAACCAGGTGCCTGTTTTGCTTTGAGAAAATATTCAGAGTCCTACATTGGCATTTCTGGTCAACACAGAGACATAAAGCAATCCTACTTCTAACAGCCAAAGCCCATGAAGAGAAAGTGCCATGGGAGATTAAATTTCACATTGTGCCTTTAGCTTGGATTGAATAAAGAACTCAAAACTACCTATTTAGTGTTCCCCCATATCACCAAAAATTTATACCCAGTGCTCCCAGGCACTTTGGTTTCTGGCACTCCTCCTGCTCCTCTGTATAGTGCTGTATCTGTGTAATTCAGTAAGAGAAACCACTCTTCACAGCAGTCTAGCACGTTAACTTAACCCTGCAAGGAATTCCATCCTTCATAAGATTCAAGTATGTTCAGATCAAATATCAGAAATATTGAATATCAGACATTCTGAGTATTAAGGAAAAATAAATAAGCAGCACATTAGGTCCTTGCAGTTACAAAGTCCTTGAGAAATTAAAATATGAAATACAGAAGGATTATCAGGGGAACTGGGTTCAGTTCCTCTTTCTGCCACAAGTCCCAAACACAATACTGTACCAAACATTCACTCTCAGCCCTGTTAAAAGGGGCTAGTATCTCATCAGCTACCTGTCTTAAAAATTAAAATTGAAAGGCATTTGGGGCAGGAGTTGAGAATTTCCTTTTTCTTTTTTCCAGCCTTGGAGGTCTAAAGACTGCTACTGTAACAATAATTAATAGAACAACAATAAACAGTACCAAAATGCAGCTTAGAAGGAAAGCAGTATCAGTACCATCATTTTTCCGGTTTCACATTTCTGCATAGAACAGTGATAATATTCCATGTGCAAACAAATTACATTTCATGGTGGCATTAAATCCACAAGCAGCCAAAACTCAATTATCAGTGACTGAGAATTACAAAGAACTACTGTTAAGGCTCTGTTAAATTGCTGCAAAATGTTCCAAGCTCATTTTTTAGTTACACCTCCAGAAAAAAAACACTTTCAGTCCTTCTTTTTCTTCTATTGATCTCCATTTTGTTTAAAATATTATATTCAAACTAACAGTAAAATATCCCATAAGGCAGAAAATACAGGTGACTTCTACACCACAGCACCTTAGAGCCCTCCTGGGTTGGGGACCAGATGGCAATTTACCATGGAGGTCCAGAGGGGAAACCTCAGCCTACTTACAATAGGTTTGCTTCTCTAAGTTACTTTGGGCAGATCCTTACCATTAAATCACGTAGAAATTGAGAATTCTGCTTTAATGTTTAAAAGATGCTTTAGAAGCTGCTAAATTTCATTAGGTGCTATGGAGTACTCATGTGTCTATGTGATTATTTAAATTGTAGTTTATACAAGTAATTAATTGTATAAACATTGTATACAATTATTTAAATTGTAGTTTATACAATTAATTGTAGTTTAAACCTTGTAGATTTAACATCCAAGTATATCTATTTTTCAGCCTCAAGCTGAAGGTGCTCAGTGTGCTGTGGGGTTTGCCTCAGAAGCTGCATGTATGAACTCTCTGGCTCTTTACTGTGAACCCCTGTTCTACCAAAGAGTCACTTTTTGAAGAACTCATTTGGTCACTATGGCCCCCTTTACCTGCCTAGGCAAGGATCTAATAAGCTGGGATGATCAAACATAACTTTCAATACCACCTCTGTTCTAGCTTCTTCTGAAAAGCCAGCTTCAGCATCATAAAGAGGTGGCAGATCATTGTTTGCAAAAACTACAACAAACTTGGAAGGAAAGGGTCCATGTGCTCACAGTTATTAAGCTCTACACCCTTTGCATGTATGGCCACAGGGATTCAAGACGAAAGTGGGGGCTAAATATTTCACAGGTCTTTTACAGACAGCTATTGTTATTATCAAAAACAAGCTCCTTCTACTGCCCTTTTCCTTTCCTTCTTTCTTCCCAATCTCTAACTCATTTTGCAAATTACCCAGAATGTCTGAGTTAAATTCTCTGACACTGGCAAGCCACGAATTCAGGCCCAAGCAGAAGTGCTCATGATGTGAGCCCCCAGCAGATTCATCATCTTTGGCATCCTCACAGCAGGAAGCACACACCAATCTGCAAGAATTAGAAAAGCCCTGGCAACCCCACATTACAACGGATTTTTGCAGTCAATTTAGCACATGTGTTCCTGTCCCTAATCACAGCTTTAAGCTACATGGGAAAAACAAGGGTCACCCAGACTGTTAACATCCATGGCTGGAAAAACGCTATCCCAGCCGGCTGCTTTCACTTTGAGTCAGAGATCAAACCAGAAAGGACAAACATGACTGTACCCACACTCGGTGTACAATGTGGTGTGTAACAGGGAAGGGATTTGAATAGATTTTTTCTTACTTTTTTCTGCTTTTTGCAACTGTGCATTAGTTGTGGCTCTGACACATATTTATGACTGCTATAGGAAAACCACAAAAAGTAGGGACAAATTGAGATTGTCTTTTATTAAAAAGAAAGACCATATGCCCACCACTGTTCATGCCTCAAGCAGCAGAGGCAGAGAAATCAGCTGTGAACTCTATATATGTACAGTGCATTCTAACTGTGTGATCTAAGCAACTGCTTGGTACACATATCATGTCACCAAAGAAAAATTTATACCTAAATGATGGCAGTTAAGTGTAAACATGAAACTATATTTTTCCTATACTGATGGGGAAAATGACTTTGAAAGAATTGCTTTGTGGAGCCAATAGGGATGCACCAATCATGTTTGAGAAGGCAAAAAGCAAGAGATATTCTCTAAACATCCCTCACAGAAATAGTTCTACAGAAGAAAAACATTTCCCCAAGATCCTTCCTGCTCAGTATGATTGAGAAATTCTGTTTTACATGACCAAACCCAATTTCTGAAACAGGAGACACTGGGGAGCATTTCTGTTCCCTAAAGTACCACAAGCATAGAGACAAATAAGCCAGCTTTTTTTTCAATGAAAAAGAGAAACCATTATCTTCAAAAGCTCTTGGAGGAACTCAGCCTTTCTCTGAGTCTGTATATCAAAGAATTTCATATTCCAAACAAACCATCCTGACTCTCTTGTGAATGGAATAAGCTGGAATACAGTTCTACCTCCCACTGTATGGAAAACACCCACTCTCTAGCTTTTTCTGTCTTTTACTCTCTGGAGCTGCTATTTTGCATCCTTGGAGCACAAAAAAATCAGAGATAATGTCAGAGCTGCTGTCAGCTCCCAAAGCTACAGGGTCTGATATGGAAACCTGGGATGCTCAAGACCAATCCAGTTCCCTGTGGACCCAAGGGACATCTGGACCATTCCCTTAAGCTGAGTCACTTCCATGCTTTAATGGTGACGACAAAAATGAAGAGATCTGAGTTTTCCAAAGAGAATGAAAGCAGGATTTGATCCTGCTGAGCATTTTTTAGGATTTCCTTATTGTCAGGGAGAGTTGAACTCCATGTTGATGTTAAGTAAAAATTGTCTCAGCACTGAAGAAAAAAAAACACAGGAGAGTCCATGAATCTGGGCTCTCAGTCTGCAGAAGTGAATACTGTTCGTTAAGAGAATTCTAATGATCTACTTTGTTACCCTGAATTAAATAAGGTGCAAATTCAATTTCCTGTTGGGGTTTTATTTCTTTCTTGTATTTTTTCAGCTTCATAGGATAATGGTGCTGTTTTCAAGCTTGGAAATAGTCATACAACAGTTATTCTTAGGACATAATGGGTCTCTTGTTTGAAGGTAGAAAGGAATTTGGAAATGTTTCCATTTATCACCTACATCCAAACAAATACACTGGGAAAATCTGTTTCTTTTTTATTCATGTAAGAGCTTAACAAATCCCATATTGATGAAAGCAAGGTTCAAGTTCTTATTAGAGTTTGAAGTTTCTGCATTTCAAGTGAACCAATTCTCCCTCTGCCTTTTACTCCTCTTACCAACACTTTTCTTGACGGCGTAAATCATCTAAAGAAAAAATATACATCCAAGCATCATCAGAAGAGCACACAAGAACAGTACATCTCAGAAGCTGTGCTGCAGCACTGCCCTGGCAGGGAGATTGCAAGGCACCAGTAAGAAATGCATCCAGCAGTTTGCAAAAGCCGTAACAGAGATCCCAATGACCATTTGTCACACTCCTGTCACTGGAGATGTTTTTCTCTCGTACACTGATGACAGATGCATTTTGATTGAAGCTATTTGGAACTGTGTCCAGCATTACCAGTGGTTCTGGAATCTCTTCTCATTTTAGTAGCTTCACTTTAGAAACAATGCTGGGAAGCCAAAGCACATAAATATGGAACAAATACAGGTGACCTTAAAACCTGCTTTGATAACTTGACATCAGGTATTAGACAGGTTTAGCAGCTAAAACACCTCCCGAGCAAAAGACAAGATTGTATTTCTCCCCTCTTCTCCTAAACTGGTCTGAGATCCCCCTTGGGATGCATCCTCTAGCCTCCAGTCAGGCCTTTCTCCTCTTCCCACCAAAACCTTGACGCTCTACTTCAAGCATCCTGCCTGCACCACTCCTGGGTGCAGCTGTCATTGTGAAACAGGTAATTCCCAGTGAGGCACTTGAGTGAAATACCTGGGCATTTAATGCAAGCATTCACTCAGCTGAAACCAAAAGTGAATTCTGAGTCTCAGATGAGCTCAGTTTTAACTTGATCAACTTCCCAGTCAGTGCCATGACCTTGTCTTCAGTCCTCCAACACTGGAGAAACAAATAACGCTGCACTGGGAGTTGTTCCTGTCTGCACCTGACTTGCACAAATTTCAGTCTTTCTAGCAATCCCACAGCCAACAGCTCATACCTGAGCTCAACAGCAAGCACAGCAGCTGTATGTAGTGTAGCAATGTGA